TTATTTATGCATACAGAACTGGGGTACAGGCCAGAGGTGCAGGGGTGGTGACAGGATTCACCAGAGACAGAGTGGGGAGCAAAACAGGCAGATGGACTGAAACACACTGCTGAGGGGAGCAGTAGGCCGTGTGGGTCAGCTCCCTGGCTGGGGATCGAACTCATGCTGAAGCAGCAGCAGCTTCGTAGTGCTGTGCTTTAACCTGTTGCACCACCAGGGAAGGCCCGGGGACATGCCCTATTCCCTTGGCCCAGACAGCTTTGCTGAGCCTGGTGTCAATGCGTGCATCTGGAGTGGCCCGGATTGCCAATTTCGGGGTCTCTTCTAGTGCTGTAGGGGCACGCTGCTTGAAGCCAGCTCCATGGATGCGCTTGCGAATGTTGATGGTGTTTTCTCTGGTGACGGCCTCATTGACCCTTGTCTTTATCGCCCCCCTTCTTTGTGGGAGCCATTCTGTCGGGACCAAACTTGAAAGGCAGAATTTAAACTATGGATCTATGGTAATGAGGAGTTACTAAAAGTGCCCGAAACCAGAAGGGGGGCTCAGTATCAAGTCTAGATTTTTGCCTAATTACTTATTATTCATGATAGCAAATATAAAATGCACCTTATATAGATCAAAATACACATCCAAAAGAAAGGTTTAAAATAAAGTCTAAAACAAGTGTTACTTCCCAACTCTTAAAAGCAACTTTTTTTTAACCACATTCTTTGTGGTTTATTTATGTTACTTTCATCGGCATGAATAATACACTCATCATCTATTACTTGATTTCTTAATTTTATGTTATCTCTTGATTCCCTGCTGTGTGATTTCATTACCCTTCCCCCCTTTCTCCTCCCAATTTTCTTTTTTATATTTATATTTGTCGTTTCTCTATTGGTTACTATAGCACTTCGAATGTTAGTCTTAAATGTGTGTCTTATTTGAATTGAACCTTTCGACTCCTCTGTAGGAAACAAATAATTCCCCCTGATCTGCCCTCCCACTGCTGCCTTCCCACATCTACTAAACTTTTACTATTGCTTTGTCAAGGTTGGTGGCACGTACCATCTCTCCTGTAACGATAATTCACTTGTCATACTTTGCCTGTGGACTGATTCTTAACACTGAAATCCAGATGACATTTACAACATTATCACTGTGTAAATACTTGCATTGCAGAAATAGGGATTTGTAGACCTCACTGAGAGGGGAGGGGATTCGTTGGGAGGAAAGGGAATTCCTTGCCACTGAGCCTGGGCCAGGGGAAGCCATAGAGAGCTTCTGGGTCTGCGGAGTAACAGTTAAAGTGGATCCACACCTCAACATGGATGTACCCTAAAGACACCATGTTAAAAATTTAAAAAGCAACATAATGTTAACAAAGTTGGTCACAATATAGGGCATATGGGAACTTTCTGGACCAACCTTCTCTATTTTTTTTCTATATATTTAAAGTTTTTCTCAAAGATAAATGTTCCCATAAAAAAAAAAATAAAGAAGCTATGTGTGATCCATATTGAAGCTGTCATGGTCTAGCTCTTGGAGGTATCAGATGAGACTGGATGTCACCAAGAACCACAATGACTCCTCTAAAGAAATAATTTTTAAAGGAAGAGTGCCTCCCACTGGGGGGGTCACTGAGCATGGAGCAGACTTGACCAGGTCCCCCAGGACCAAGTGCATTGCCTTTCTGCTTCATTTTGTGTAGTAGAAGTTCCCACTTGGGAAAGAAGGGGAAGCAGAGATGCTGGCAGAACCACAGACTGTCAGGGATAAACATTATAAATTAACACTCTGTAGTGCTACTTTGAGCCAGCAGCTGGTCTAAATACTTTACCTATATTAAGTTTATATTTATCTCTTTTCCTTTTCCTGTATTAATCCTTACACCAAGACTATGAGTAAGTACTATTACTTCCCAGATGAAATAATCACAGAGAGATTAAACTTAATCAAGTTTAGTAACTGGCTAGAGTTGGTTTAGGAACTCAGCGAGTTTATCTCATGATACTCTAAACTGTCTCCATTGTCATAGAATAAAAAATAAAAGTACAGTTTTCACAGGCATTGGTCCAGTCCCTTTACCAAATTCAGTTTCCTCCATGACTTCATAACAGCCCCTCTGGCTCTGGCTCACAGCTGCTTCCCCTTAATACCTGGGTCAACTTCTGAGCTCTTGATTCTGTTCCACTGACCAATTTGTCTATTTCTGACCAGAATGCCATTGTTCTAATTCTATGTTTTTGTGATAACATCTTGACATCTGATAGAGAAGCCTGACCCACCCACCTTGGTTCCCATTTTTATGGTTGTCTTAGCTATGTGTCTAATTTCATTCTTCCATATTAAGATCCCTGAAGAATACTGTTGGGGTTTCTGTTAAAAATCTCATTAAATTTACAGATTAGGGTTATTAAATATTTATAGTAGTAGCTTTCTTATCCAGAAATGTGATATCTTACTCTCTGTTCTTTCAGATCTTCATTTTTGTGACTTTTACCATCAAAATCACAGTATGAGGTATATTTTAATTAAATTGTTCTGTAAGTTATAACTTTGGTGGCTTTTTACTTACTATCTTTTATCTTGTTTTTTGCCAATAAAAAGAATATGTATAGCTAGACATTTTACTAAAATCTCTACTAACTTTTATATTGACTACTTTGCAAGTGTGTATAAGTTTATGATCACAGGGTTTGAAAATAAAGGCACTTTCACCTTGTATTGCATCATAGTTCTATTTTTCTCATTTATATCTTTTTCATGGATCGAACCATTGATAGATTATGCCATTACTTATATGTCATATTTGTTTTTCTTATCTTGTTGCATTGTTTAGGACTTCTATAGCCACATTGAATAGATGCACAGGAATCCTGTTTTGGTTTTTATTTAAGCAAAAATTTCTAAAATATCACAATTTTTGCTATAAATGTTTGGTACTAACATATATCATTAAGAGGGATCCCTCTGTTATTAAGTTACTAATTTTTTACATTAATGGGTCTTGGATTTTATGTTTTCCCCAAATCTTTTAAAAATTTCCTACTTAAAACAGTTAATAGGGTGAAATACATTGATAGAAATATCTAATATTGAGTCTTTTTGCATTTATAATGCAAACCCTGCTTAGTTGTGACATATATTTAAAACGCTGCTAATTTGATGTATTTTAGACAAGTTTTAACATCAATGTTTATAGAAAGATAGGCTAATAATTTTATTTTTAGGGTTTTTCTAACTTTAATGTCAAGGTTATGCTATCCTTATATTATGAATTAGGAAATATTGTCTGGTCTGGTCTCTGGAATAGAGTATGTGTGCTTTCTAGTCCTTGAATGTTTGATAAAATTCCTTGGAAAACCCTCATGCTTTTTTACTACTACCTCACTAGAAGACTATTGTCCAGCTTCACAGAGGCCACTACCACCTCGCCTCCCACCTGGTCAGCCACGATTAAACCTCCCTTCTCCTCTTCCTCCACCCCATGTTATTCAACAATGCACCAGTAGAAAGCCTTGGGTGGTGTCTCCTTCCAGCTAATGCAGAAAAGTTCCCAAAACAACAGAAGACTGTCATGCTCTGAGCACTGGGGAGAAGTGATGTGGTTGTAAAGCTTCCTGCTCTCACAGAATTACTCCAGGATTTACATGCCAGGATGGTGACTTCACACACCATGATGACACTGGTGACACATCCATCCATGGGGAGATTCTGATGATGAGAATTTCATCCTGAAGCATACAGGGCCTGGAATCTTATCCATGGTAAATGTGGGGCCCAACGCAAATGGTTCCCCAATTTTCACCTGCATAGCCAAGACTGAGTGGTGGCCAGGAGAAGAGCATGGATACTGTGGAAGCCATGGGTACTTTGGTGCAGGAATGGCAAGACCAGTAAGAAGATGGCCATTGCTGAGTTTGGACAAATGTAATAAATTAGACTTGTGTTTTGTCTTAACTACCAGACAAACTGTTCTAAAACTCTGAAGAGCACCCTTTCATCCCCATCTACTCCAAAGTTCCCATAATTGCTACGCTCTCCCTATAGTTTTTTGGTTTCATGTTCACCTTCTCTTCTTCCAAGTTTAGCTGGATTGCAGAGTTAGGTCTATGGTCATGAAATAAACAATCAATAATTACAACAAAAGTTATTTTCTGTTCTATTTTTTAAACAATTGTTAATAATTTTTATTTTTCTAGAATGTGTTCATTTTGTTTTAAAAATGTAT